AGCTCCGGGTGGCCCCTGCCTCCCTCCTTGAAGTTTGCCTGCGGGCTGCGCTTAACTTCGGTTCTCCTTGGGAATGCTTACTCTGAGAGCGTGCAGGACACCCCCCTTCGCTGGAAACTCTGGTCCCTCGCTGAGACCCTCTGTTACATATCTTTCCCTCTCCTGCCTGACTTCGGTTGCAAATAAAAGGCGAAAAGTCTCTTGCCATTTTTCTGTTTGCATCTCAGCTTTCTCTTTGTCGCGCGTTGTGTTTATGTACGTGCATGCCTGTATTCCTCATTTCTCTCCCAACTTGCAGCTGTCCGGTGAAGATGTTGCGTTTTCAACCAAGCCTGTTTCTCCTTGGTGGAGTATAATTTTTTGTTTTGACAGGACAGGTGCATAAATTCCGTGGTGGCTTAGTGAAATCAGCAAAGGCGGGGAAGGGGCTCACACTTTCTGTTTGCTTGTGCAAATCGACTGGGAGAGAGGTGCATTCATAGCAGATTTTTGTACTTCGATGTAAGCCCTTGCCTTGATTTGAGGAGGAGGAGGAGGCATAAGGAGGTTGGAGCCGTAAGGGCTTGGAGGATGCTGGGGCAATTACAGCCTACTTGGTCCTCCCTTCGCCCCCGCGGTCCCCAGAGTTAAAGGCAGAAAGTGCATCCCTCTTCCTGCCCTTGCCGAGGCAGGCCAGTGTGGGAGCGGGGCGCAGACAGCTGGGCACAGCTGGGCACAGCTGGGCGGCAGTGGCCCTCTGCGCCTTGCGGGAGCAGGGAGTGGCCTCGCCTCTGTGTGTGCGTGCTTAAAGATGTGGTGTTTCCTTCCCTTGATATTAAAGATTTTCACAACTTGCTGCTGACTTTCCCTCTTGTTTGGCCTGGGTGTAAGCCCAGATTCTGCCATGATGCTGTGGTATCTGCATGCTTATGAGATAGTCAGAAGTTTAAAGTTTTGGGGTTGTAGGTGTGCAAAAACACGTGTGAAAATGAATGTGTAAGGGAGCATCAGCATTAAAGATACCCACGTTTCTTAGTATGTACTCCTTCCTGTCAGAGTAGAGGTAGCTGCTAAAATGATTCAGAAATTAGTCACTAGATAGAATCCATATATATTTGCAGAAACAGTCCCCTCCAGCTTAAAATACGTTGTTTGGCACAATTTAAAAGGTACTAAAATGAACTGATGATTTAATATTAAATGAAAGAAAATAAGTGTATTTAGTCATAAGTATGTGTGTCCTCAACAACACTTTAAAATATAGCTGTAATGTACTTCTGCCAGGACATTTAGTGATACCTCTGCTTGCTTCTTGTGTAGTATGGTGCTACTCACTTTGGCTAAGGATGTTGGAATATAGTTTATTTTCCCAGCCTGTCATCTCAACTGTTACTGTATGAAGCAGGAAAAAAAAACCCTAAGTGTACTGCTAGTATCTGCTGCAGTGCTATGTTACGCTTCCCTTTCTCCTGAAGGAAGGGCTCATGCCATCTGGTTATTTTTGACTGGCCGCAGGGGCAAGCAAAGTCAGTTTTCCATGGGATGTTTTACTTCCAGAAGTACCAGTAATGCAGAACTGTGAATACGTGAGGTGGCCCATTTTATGGTTATTAGTGATACTGCAGTTAAATCTGAGACATTCCAAAATGGACTCTCTGCAATTCCAAATTATGTGATAAACCTTAAATCAGCTGTGTTGTCATAACAAAGTTTGCTAGGACTGTAATTGTGAAAGCATGCCCTCCTTTAACTAGACAGTGATGTCCGTTTAAAGGTTAAGCAAGTAATGAAACACACCTATTACGTGGAATGCAGTGTTTCTTAAACAGCATTATCTTCTACTGATACGGAATATGCTTGACGATAATTATTTCATGAACAGTCTTCAGGATAAGAGATAGTCTTATTATATTGGTCTGATTGGTCACCGAGGCAGGGTAATTCAGAATGAAGAGTGACACTGTCAGCCACAAGTTGCTGTCACACTACGGCAGCTGTTTCATTTACATCAGAGAGGATTTGCAGTGATTCTAGAAGATACGAAGTAGCCCAAATTTATTTCACAGTTGTTTACACAATGAAGAATTTTCTGTGGTAAATTTAACTTTTTATATGTTAGTTAATTTAATATTACTTTAAGTGAAAATTAAATAAAACAATACCAATAAAATGGAGAGAAGGATGTAAGTGAACACCTTTGTGTTCATAGTAGAACTTTAACACAAGGTGCCTAGCACTTTCTTTTAGCTATGAGAATGTAACCTAATATTGTTCAACTGTACATATAGCTTACAGCAGATGTAAATTTTGAATATGGAAGACAACCACATTTCAAATGCTATGATGCTTTAGGTGTGGCAACATATTTTGTTCCTAAGTTTTGTCAATTGTGTCACTGTTAAAGTGTCTGCTGGGTAACATTTAACCCAGCATAAAATGGAGACACTCTAAAGTACTTTTAGACCGAGTACTTTAGCTGGATGTATTTTGGAAACTTTCCTTTACATGCATGTACTCTGTGGATCTAGAAAACAATGCAGGAAAATATATGTAATAAATACATTTACAATCATTATGGAAAACTTTTAAGGAATAAAGCATTTTAAAATAGCACAAAGTATTAATTACATTCCGGTTATTGAATTTAGGGACTTCTGCAGCATCCTCCCATGCCCTCAAGTTAGCGTGATTTGTATGATTTGCGTACAGATCTGGTACCTACAGGGTTGCTTAAAGCTGTGGGTGTTCGGTAGGTGGCAGGCTTACCTGTGAGCCAGCGCGACGTCCGTGCTGCAGCGCGTTGGCGTAGCGGGGCGAGGGAAGGGGAGCGTTGGTAGTAGTGCTGGGTTGGTTTTGACAGTGTGTAGTACTGGTTTATTAGCTACAGGGACTTTTGCAATCATAGCACTTTTTGCAAATGACTACATGTTAACCAGTTTTGTTAATTTAGCTTAATTTATGTCCCACCGCAGGTTAGTTTGAGTTTAGTCTGCTATAGAATTTACCAAATATTAATGCTTTGTATCTATATATACAGCAGTAATGTTGCTGTAGCTCTTACTAAGGGCCAGGATCCCATTGTTTGGAGAACTTACAGCCAGAGGAAAACAAGAGTCAGCGATTCCCTGGAAAGCTTACAGTCTCGCATCTTTGCCATTCTGTTGGTTGAATGGCTGGCGGTCGAAAGTTCTGTTTGCAAGCTAAGTGAAGTTATTGTTATTGGCACTATTTCAGAGCACACTTACTTAACAGGTAAAGACATTTCTGTTACATATACTGCTGAGTATATGTATGTATACTGTTGTATATCTATATATTACTGTTATATATACTGCTGAGAAACAAGACATTCTACATGGTAGAATGTTATATCCAACAACTTTGATATATTTATGATTAACAGCTATGTTTGAACTCAGGCACCTAGGTGGGAAGAGTATGGAAGATAATGGAAACATACGGAGATAAAAGCAGATTTTAGACCTAACATCTTAAGCTGTGCTTGCAGTGTTTTAGCTTCTCTGTTACATTTGCGTGACCCTATTGACTAATATCTGTGCAACTGATAACATTATGATGCCTCATCAGATGTTCAGTGGTCATCACCCAAAGCTTACTATATTTTTTTATTTTTTTAAGGTTACCTTACCAAAATTTAGGAATATGATAAGATTGATGAAGAGGATAAGACAACTGGGGTTGTTTGGACATGTGCATACTAAACCTTCAGGAAGTCTTGAGGAAATTTTGTGTTTTGTGTGCCATTACACTCCAGAATTCCATGCGTGAAAGTCTTTTAGTATCAATAGGAGCCAAAGGAAGTCTGTTAGGCTATTATTGTAGAACATGAGCAATTGCTGGGCAAAGGCTTGAAAGTTAACGCTTCATTTTTAGTTTAGTACTGGAAATTGCGAACATAGAAGTGGAGAATCTGCCTCACAAACATACTGAAGTTTGATCCAAATTCACAATTTGGAATTTATTGTAATTTTTGTTATGTCTCTTTCATAAAAAATATAAACATGTTTAAACTCTTAAATTGCATATTCAAGTATTAGAGATTGGTGTCCCATAGATTTCTCACAGGTACAGCTTATTTGGTTTGGAAAGAAGAGATGTAATTGCTTCTCTTTGTTGTGCATAAATGGATATATTGCTTGTGATGTAAATTACTTAAAACTAGAGTTAGCCTTGATGTAATTCTGTCTTTTCTATATTGCATTGCAGAGATGGTGAACTGAGTTTGAGTAGATCTGTGATCAATAGTTCTGATAAGACAATTCGAAAGGGTGGCTCCTCAATCTTCCAGCATGCTGTAGAAGGTTGGAAAATCAATTCTTCTTTGGTACTGGAAATAAGGTGAGTGTCTTAAATAAAAAGCAGTTCATTTCATATTACCTATAATTCTTTTCGTTTCATATTGCGTGTAATTCTTCTGGTCTGGAAAACAGTGATTTGATTTATGGTTGCAGGTGGATGTTTTATAACTGTATATATTTAGGGTTCAGTGTTAAATGCAACTAAATTACATTAGACTCCAAAGTCAAGTCATACTTTGTAAGAACAAATAAAATGTTTTCATCTGGCTGTGTCAGTCAGACCCATGCAGTCAGTGTCTACATTATGCATGTCCACATTTGAGCTGGTTGTCTAGAACTCTCTTGCAGTCAGTGGGAGAAACTGGCACTTTCAGGACAGGATTTCCTCTCATCCTAAAGATCTGAAATAGATCAGATGGAGGTACCCTGAACATACCAATTTTTCTCCTTTAATGACAAAGGGAGCTTAGGCAGACAACTTAGATGTAGGAGTCAAGAGCTAGGATATCAGGCGCTGCGAATCCAACCCTGTCTGTGGGTGATCCAATTCACAAGGTCAGATGTTGACAATACCCATATCTTACGTATTTTTCTTTCCTGAAGTCAGAGAGGCCAAAAAAAGCCTGGGGCTCATCCTGAGAGGGAGAAACACAGTAGCAGAGTTAAAGTGAGTGATAGTTCTGACGCGTCTTAGTAGTGACAGTGGGTCTACTGACCTTGGGGCCTGAGAGAAGAGAAAGCAGAAGCCTCTTAGTGTATTGTATTGTCATTGGGTCTTCCCGGTCTTCAATCAGGAGTGTGGCCCATGAGAAAAGTGTGTGGAGCATCGGTTGGCAGTGTGGAGGGCTAGGAGTGGCACGTTCTGTGAAAAATTGTGGAAAAGAACTATTTTTAGAAGCAATCACATAGCAGACTAGACTTGATTTGCTGACTATTAAGATTTTGAATAGGAATTTGATCTAAATAAAATGTGGTTTATGTCATTTTCCTTTCTACCTTTTTTTTAAATTAAAGGATGGCTTACAAAACCCTTAAACAGGCAAATATTTCCATGTATGAAAGCGTGGCTTCTCTGAATGAGGAACTTAGGGGTTTTTTTTGACTGGTATTTAAGGTTCCTAATTCTAAAACATGCAGAAGATATGGATCAGAAATGTATGAAACTGTAGTAAAGGACTGATATTCTGAAAGTCTTGTGCTATGATGGACATAGTGCAGCCCTGCTGTGAAAGCCGAGGAAGAGCTTCAGGGATGGAAAAGAGTGGCAGCATTTGGGTAGGCAGCAAATTAATACTCTGGAGCCTAGAGTAAGGGACCCTCGGGCACTCAGCTTCTCCCCAGGCACCTGTGTTTCCTGCTGGTGAAGACCTGGTGGTCGCCCTAAAATGCAGCTGAGGTGCAGCTCAGGAATGGAGTTTCCTCCAGGACTGTGTGTTCAGATGCAGCCCGTTTGACCAGTGTAGGGTTGTTCCGCAAAGGCTAAGTTCTGCTCCAAGTGTGGAAAAGATAAGCAGACCCCTGTGTTCCTCAGGGGTTGGTATTGAGACTGGCACTGTTTAACAGTGGGATTGAGTGCACCCTCAGCAAGTTTGCTGACACCACCAGGCTGTGTGGTGCGATCGACATGCTGGAGGGAAGTGATGCCATCCAGAGGTACCTGGACAGGCTTCAAAGGTGGGCCCATGCAAAATTCATGAAGTTCAGCAACGCCAAGTGCAAGGCAATCCCAAGCACAAATACAGGCTGGGCAGAGAATGGATTGAGAGCAGCCCTGAGCAGAAGGACTTGGGGGTGTTGGTTGATGAGAAGCTCAACATGAGCCAGCAATGTACCCTTGCAGCCCACAAAGCCAGTTGTATCCTGGGCTGCATCCAAAGCAGCATGACCAGCAGGTCGAAGGAGGTGATTCTCCCCCTCTACTCCGCTCTTGTGAGACCCCCCCCTGCAGTACTGCCTTCAGCTCTGGGACCCCCACCACAACAAGGACATGGACCTGTTGGAGCGGGGCCAGAGGAGGGCTGCGAAGGTGTTCAGGGGGCTGGAGCACCTCTCCTATGAAGCCAGGCTGAGAGAGTTGGGGTTGTTCAGCCTGTGCAGAAGCAGCCTTAAAGGGGCCTAAAAGAAAGCTGGGGAGGGACTTCTCACCAGGGCATGTAGTGACAGGACAAGGGACAGTGGCTTATAACTAGAAGAGGGAAGATTTAGATTAGATATTAGGAGGAAATTCTTCACCATGAGGGTGGTGAGGCAGTGGCACAGGTTGCCCAGAGAAGTTGTGGATGCCCCATCCCTGGAAGTGTTCAAGGCCAGGTTGGATGAGGCTTTGAGCAACCTGGTCTGGTGGAAGGTGTCCCTGCCCATGGCAGGGGGGTTGGAACTAGGTGGTCTTTAGTATCCATTCCGACTAAACCATTCTATGATTCAGTGATTTTCTATATCAGTAACAGTATTTAAAATTTATATGTGTATAGCTGACAATTTATGTTGGAGAAATATTGAGTAACTTCAGAAGAATACTGTTGAAATTTCAAATAATAGGTTATGGTTCTGACAATTTGGAGGAAATAGCACAGTTTCACTTGTGAAGTAAACTGATTTGGAAGCTGTTGAGTGACTATAAGCAGATTCAGGTAACTTTTCAGTCATTTTGTTGAAAACTTGTCATATTTCAGAACTGTTTAAAACCAATACAACCTGCTGCTCAAGCCACATGGCAAACAAGTAAAAATACTACAGTAACTTTTTGATTAAAAGTAAGAGAGACAATAAGGCTTGGGTTATGCTTATTTTTCACCTGTTTCAAAAGCAGAATACATCATTCAGACAAAGAGGTAAAACAGTAGAGAATGCTTTAGATGTTTTTTAAACCTGTTACTACATATGTATCATCTCAATCTACTAAAATCATGAGTTTCAAAATAATTTTTTTCCTTACTGTTGGCTGGGGAGGGAAAGTTCTCTCCTTTTATAAATTACTAAGGTGCTTTTAAGAAGCAGCATGATCTGATTATGTGTTTTGGTGTTTTTTTAAATTATACAGTGAAGGATGTTTTTTTGTCTCAGTAGTATAATGAAGAAAAACATGTATCTTGTACGCTGGTTTAAGCAGTAAATGTTCTACTTTGTCAACGTAAAGATTTTCTGTACAGTAGAGAGAATAAAGCTGAGATTATTTAGTGTCCACTTTGCTAGTCTTGTTTTGAGATGAAATAGCTATCATTATGAACACCAGGGCAGACAGCAGGTGTTTTCACTGAACCAGTAAAAGATTTTAGATTAATGTGACTTAAGGCCAAAATTTGACATAAAGGATATGAAAGGAATCAGTGCTACCAGCGAGTCATACTCTTTCCAGAAATCCTCTTTGGTAACGTTCATTGCATATTCAGTTGTGGTACTCAGCAGTGAGGGAGGGAAGTTTGGCATACTTTTCCCAGAGGAAGCCATGTGCAGCCCCTTGTGATAATGTGTTCTACTCTGATGCTGACTAAACAATGTGCATTCTTCTTTCACTTTTACAGGCGGTTTCCTATACACCTTTCTTCCCTGTCACAGCAGTAAGAAGCATCTTAGCTGTAAATATTTTCACACTTATAGACCTATTAAGACTAACTTCAAATGTATCTAGCAATCTCCTAGAGTGTTCTCACGGTTTAACTAACTGTTCAGCCCTCCAGAATACATAACATGCACTGTGTAGACCATGAAGATGATTCATACTGTATTACTGCGACTGTTAATGTGAACAGTGGTGGTCTTGTGGTGTGAGGTTGACCATAGCAAATAACGGTAAGAAAGAAACAACAACAAAAAAAGCTAGCACCTGTTGAATAATATATTAAAAGTTATCAGTTCTTAGCAGTGGAGCAATAATTTGTGAAACCGTTAGTGTACAGTATAAAGACATTTCATAAAACTTATAATCACCCATAAATGACAGCAATTTTGTGTCTTACAGCAGCTTGACACCCACATTAGCAATTTTAAAACATGGGAAATACTTGATAGTTTTCCTTTGTGTGAGGACTGTTGATCTGATACGTCTGGACCTAGTTGGCTGGCAGCTGGAATATTATGCTTTGCTATTTGCTTTGTTGACCATAGGCATCATCTGTGGCCATCTTATTTCTGCTCAGGTTAGTGACCAGTCTGTCAGCCTCAAAGGTCCTATGAATTCTTGGCAAGGCCAGACTCATATAGGAGTCGGTGGCTGTAAAATCTCCTTTATCAGGATCCCATGGGAGGATGAAAGGCTTCCATGGGTTTCTGGTGTCACAAGATGCTCTCTGGGACTTTGCAGCCAGAAGAGGCAGTTTGAGGAGTGTAGCAGGTCTTTTGGGAGGGCAGCAGCCCTTTGGAGATGTCAAGCAGACATTAGAAGAAAAAGCTAGACTTTCTGTGACTGAGGTGGAAATGATGGTTATTATTAATTACTTGAGACTGTAGCACATTTGCTGCCTTGCCAATCATGATTGGTCTAGTGGGAGTGATTCTTCCAATTGATGTTAACTTCTGATTGCTGAGAGCTTCTTTGAAGAATAATTGGTAGTTCCTGTGCCTAAGGGAAGAAGACTGCTTGCTTGGCTCCCCTTCTGTCTGAATGAGTTCAGTCATGAAGAAGAGAGAGAATCCACTGTCTGCAAGGTTTTGTGTCTGGAGTCCTTTTTACTCTCTGTAGCAATGTGAAGGTTTTCCAGTTATGAAATTTCAGTTGTATTGAAGACCGTACTTTCAGAAAGGAGAGATGTGGCTGAGATGGTACAAACCTATCTGGGGAAGCCTTCCACACAGGGCTGATGCCAGCACATCTGTGACCTGTGTGAAATGAACTGCAGTCTGATGTCTCAGTACGTGACTTTCTTCTTCCACTTACTTTTGATTAAATGTGGGCGTTTATGTTGGAAGGAGCAGATGACAGTTTTGAATTGCAGGAAGGCAAAATAAAATAAGAAAAAAAGTGTGTTGAGGATGTTTTTATCTCTTTGCAATGTAACAGTGCACTCGATGAGTGGAAATTTCCTGTCAGAAAAGTGTGAGAAC